TCGACAGGCCTGTAGGTGCCCTTAAGGCCTTTTGTGTCATGAATAGAGAAGTTCCGCCAGTTTGGATTTAGAGCTCATCAGAACAAAAACATTTCTTTAAAATGACCACTTCAGGTCGAACACGCACCGTGCGCAGCCCTATAAACATTACCAGGGTGCAGATTTCAGAAGCCGAGTCCCATGAGACGTCTACCCGTAGACGATCTGCAGCTAGGACTCTCCTACACCTCAACAGCAGGGGTGGACTGGCCTATGGGCATTTTGGCAATGCCCCCTGGGCCGGTGCCGAAGGGACAAAGCGGGCGGCGCCGAAGGGAAAAAGTTAGCCGGTGCTTAAAGGACAAAGTGGGCCGCTTACTTAAAAATTTGTCATCAGATTACTGTGTTTATAGGACCAGTACTCCTTTTTCTTCAATGTTTAAGAGATCTACTTGTAACCTCGAAAAAAATAACGTTTTAAAACGTACGATATTTTACTTATTGCCTACTTGGCAGAGATCCCGGCGGCCGACGTAGACCTATTGCCTATTGTGTTACGTTCAGAAAAATGTTGTGATAACAGTAAACAAAGGTACAAAACTGGCCCGTAACTGTATAGAGACAAAATGAAATCGGGCTGGTGGAGTAAGGTGGCACAAGCAGCAGGACCTACCAGCAGTTGAAACAACGGATTTTGACCAAGTGGAAGAAAGTAGTGGATTGGCAGCTGCTGCTGATCTATCAGCAGGCTAAGCAACTGAACTTGACGAGGAGGACAAAAGCGGCGAATTAGTTGCTGGATCATTATCAGGTGAAATGAGAGAAATTAAACCAACAAGTGAAAGGGAGGCTTTGTCCTGGCTAGCACAGAACAGACTGCACATACATGTACTGAACTTGAAGATTAGAAACCATGCACAGAAGAAAAAAGGTTCTTGTTTTGGAATCACCATCCAAGTCAGAAGACTGATAATCGAGTGGTGCAAAGATGTTTCATTCGTGAAGACGGTTCTAACAGATGGTGGCTGTCTTACAACAAAGACTCCCATGCACTTCACTGTTCTGTCTGCTTTATTTTTTCTGCCACTTCAGACTCATCCGCATTTCTTAAGGGGATGAAAGACTGGCGGCATGTACATTCCCCTATTGAACAGCATGAACGTTCGTCTTTGCATCTGCAATGCTCAACAGCATACTTGGTTGATAAAAAAACAATCAGGCATATCTCACGTGTTGGCGAAGGACTACTGTGATGAAGTCAGAAAGAAACGGCAAGTGATGAATCGAGTTGTGGATGTAGTTTTAAACTCATAGGCAAGAGGGGACTAAGCTACAGAGGAAGTACGGAAAAGGCAGCCTACACTTTGGACAATGCAGAAATTGACCATGTTACTTTCCTGGAAATTGTTAAGTTGCTACGCAAATATGATTCATACACAGCTGATCACATCTCTCGCGTAGTCCATAGAAGCTAGACAAAACATGAGAAGGCAAACAGTTCGAAAGGCAGAGGCTCATTATTTGTTACTTTTTTGTCCAAAACTACTGCGAATTCTATCATCACGGTTATTCGGGATAAGATCCGTAGCTTCATTTCGGAAGAAATAACAGACATGTTTGCTGTGGAAATTGACACAACGCAGGACATAGCAACTCAGGACCACTGCTCCATTATCGTTCGATATGTGGATAATACTGGCAACTTCCAAAAAAGACTGGTAAGCATTGTGAAGTGCGAAGAAACTACCTGCGAAGCTTTTGTGCAGATAGTTTCGGAAGTTATGCAAGGGTTGAATCTTAACCTCAAAACAATATGTTGCGAACGCAACAGACGGTGCAGCAAACATTCAGGGACATTGTAGAGGTTTCAGTACTCTGCTTTCAAACAAAGCTCCAATACAGATCCATGTTTGGTGCCACGCTCATGTATTGAATCTTGTTGTTTCGGATGCCACAAGTGCTGCAGTGAACAGTGCATCGCTATTTACATTGAAGAACGACATTGCAGTGTTCTTTCGGGAGTCTTATTAGCGGATGAACATCTGGAGTAGGCACCCGACAACTATGAAGCGTTTGGGAACCATTGGTGAGACCAGATGGTAGTCAAAAGATGCTGCCTTGAGGGAGGTGTTTGATTCTTTCAACAATCCACCCGAAGCTCTGTTTGTTGAAGTGATCACCAGCCTCAACGCTATACTTGTTGCTGACAACAACCAAGCAGTCGTTAAAACTAAAGTAAGAGGATACATTGATGCTCTACTCAAGTTTGAAACAGTCCTCACAGCGCAAGTGTATCTGCAAATTAATATTTTAACGCACTACAGCTCTTTCTAAGTATCTGCAAACCGTGCAATTGGACCTTTCGACTGTATACAAGATGGTGGCGGAGTTGCTGTCAAACATGCAGGCCCTCGGGGCGGATTCCGAAGCTTCTCAAAATGCACCTGCAAAGTTTGTTCCGGCGGTAAATGATGCACTGGGGGAGAGCGGGTCAGATTCGTTTCGTGGAAGAGTCGCTTCCCTTGAAACGGCAAAGACGACGCAAACGAATTGATGATGAATTCTGTACAGATGAAGCTACTGCCCTGAAGAGTACCAAAACCCCGTCTCCGAAGCACAATGACACCAGAACATCTAGAGGCATTATGCTGATGTCATTGGAAAAGGAGATCTTAACCAAACTGGACATTGAAGACATCATTGATGCTGTGGCCGGCAAAAGCAAAGAATTTCGCAGGCATCTATTCTCTTGAGTACACTCTGGGCTGAGTTCTTGTGCTAATGTTGTTTTGATTTGGTTGTACGACATGTATTTTGTATATTACAAAGTTGTTTATCACACACACACACACACACACACACACACACACACACACACACACACACACTCACACACACACACACACACACACACACACAAACAAACATACATACATACACATCCAAACACACACAAATACAACATGTGTGTTTTCGTCTGCTTCTGTGCTCTAACTTGTAGCATAATAATCATTATAGTATGTAGGCTTAGAAACATGTTGGCTTTGCATGTTTTACTGGGCCTTAGAGGGCCGGTACGGATGACAAATGTCCGGGCCGGTTTTAAGTTTAAGACCCAGTCCGCCCCTGCTCATTGCTCAACAGTCTGCATTCTCATGGCAGATCTTAACCTACGACTGTGCCATTTTCATCTTCACTAGGCCGAGATGACATGGGTCAGAACATGGCAATGTATTCATGATTCCTCGATTGTCTTGAAAAGAAGGATTATTTCCTCGATGACATTTGGTTCAGTGCAAAGCCCATTTTCACCCTGCGGGATATGTTAACTCCAAAAATGCTGTCTATTGGGCACCCCGTTCCCTATTTTCTCTAGAAGTCACTTCATACTGAATATGTACTGTGTATGTGGCTTCAAGCACACATGGTTTAGCAGGTCCTTGTGTTGGGGCGCCATTGAACATTTCGAACGACGCGTTAAAAATGTGTCGAGTCCAAAGGAGGGCACGTAGGACGTAGAGTACTAACTGCTTCTAGATCTAGAAGTCCCAGAATGAAATAGTTCGTTTTTTAATGCTGTAAAAGAAATTAAACATTGTATAAATGTTACAGAGATGGGAAATTAAATGTCAGAGAGAAAATAAAGAAAAAAGTCAATCAATCTTTTCACGACTTCCTTTACAAGATTTTTAAA